GTGCCCGAGTCTCTGTGACCCCCTTTGGGGTTTTCTTGGCAAAGATACTGGAGTAGTTTGCCATTTCCTTCTCCAGTTCATTTTACAGATGATGAAACTGAAGCAAATAGGGTTAAATGATTTGCCTGAGTCACACAGCTAGTGAGTGTCTGAGGCCAGATTTGAATTCAGGAAGATGAGATTTCCTAACTCCAGGCCTGGAACTCAATCCACTGCACCGCTAGCTGCCAAGGTTAAGGTAATAAGGGATAAAGACAGAATTTGAACCCAGGATATCTGATTCCAAAGACACAGTTAAAACACTTTCCATAACTAGGCCCTGAGAACTTAAGTGCTCAGGGATTACTCAGTGCTTATCATAGTACTTGGCACATAATAGGTGCTTAATAAATGTTTATTGATTGATTGATTGATTGATTGAGCAAAGGTCTTCCAGAATCTTGAGGCTGTCTATCCACTATGCCAGGCTACCTCTTGTTAGGAGCCATTAAGCCCCAGTTACCAAGAGAAATAGTTCAAAGATTGTGTACTTTGGGGCGGGGCTGCTAGTTTCACATCATATAATTAGCCTGGCACACTTGTGTTCAGCTGCTGTAAGAGTTCAAAGTTAATGGCATGATGTGATTAGACAGGTGGGCAGCTGGGGAGATGACCACAATTGAGGCTTTTCAAGGGAAGCCAGCATTTGTAGGGGCATAGGGGTTGTTCTGGCATCAGGGCTGCCCTTCCTGCCCCTCTAAAAAAACAGCTTTAGTGACAAGAAGGCAATCTACACATGCTTGTGCAGCCCCAAGTGGACATTCCAAAGCAAATTTTGAAATAGTCAGTGTCTTACTTCCAGAATAAGTTTCTACACGTGCTGGAGGTTGTCATAACAAGTGTTCAAGAAAAAAAAAATGACAGTATTTCTGTTTTGGTCACATTTCTATCATAAACACTGTATTCATTGAGCATTATTCTAGAGTCAAGCATTGTCTTCCTTGGAGAGAAAGACGCAAGTTGGTAGAGTTCATGCATGCTCTTGGATGTGTCTCTAACACAAGACATTTTGAAGTTACTTTCATAAGAATACCGAACCAGGAAAATGTTATCATATGATAAAACACATTCCTCCCAGTAATGGAACAATAGTCACTTACTTAGTCTTTCCTGAACACCCCTGGAGAAAAGCTCTTCATAGACCCCTCCCAAAGTAATCAAAGGGACTTCCTTCCTCTAATGAATGATTCCTTCAGAACAGAAGTGAGGGTATGGCCATAGGTGGGTCCTGTCTTCCTTTGAGGGGATGGGGAGGGCAACATCACACCCTATACCGGAGGTATCCCTCCTTAAGTTTGCTTCCCCTTTTCCATTTTCTGGACCTGGTTTTTGTTCTTGATCTTTTATACACTTTCCTCAAATTCAATTCAATAAACATTTATTAAAAGAAAGAGGTTTTGACCTGAGCAGAAGGATTTCATAGCAGAGCATTGTTCCTTAAAAATTTTGATTAAGTACTGATAAAATTTTGATTAAGTACTGATAAAATTTCCTCCCTTCAGGAAAGTCTGGAAAGAACTTTTGAGAAGAGATATTACTGCCTCATTACTACTGTATTCATTATTTTAAAAAAATACATTCAAGTGAAATCCAAAGGAGGTTTGTGCTGTGCTTCCACGTAAGGAAGGGTTAATTCAACAAGCCCTTACTGGGCATTCGCTTTGTGCCTGGTCCTGTGGCTTATGGGCCCAGGAGACAAAGATGAATTAAAAACCAGGACAATCTGTAGGGGAGGTAAGAGGCACACACAAAAACCACTCTACAAGGAATACTTTGGAGTAGGAGAGGCTAAAAAGCAGTACTGTGAGAATTTTAAGGAAGAAGAGGCCTATTCAGATAAATGAACAGTGGATGAGAATGCTGGACTTGGCAGTCAGGAAGATCAGAGTTCAAATCCATCCTGTATGTAACACTAGCTATTATTATATCATGCTAAGTCAATCAGACTCAGAATATGATCATTCAGCTTCTCCTGGGCTCTGAAGATCCCCAGTCCTTTCCTTCCCACTAGGATTGTTTGTCCAGAGCTCCTCTGAAATATATGTGGGAAAAAATAGTAAGACTACCTCCTGTAGCTCAGCTTTCTGATCCAGCTAATAAGTGTCAGGGGTGGGATTTGAACCAGCTTTTCCATGACCAAGTTCAGCTCTCTCCATTGGCATGCTGCCTGTCGATTAACATGTCTTTCTACAAGGAGATGGCTGCTGGTTCAGCTGCTAAATGAGGTTCTCTGCTTTTTAGATGCCCTTTGGAGAAAGACTGAAGCAAATAGCCCTTTGGCAGAGGGAGGGAGAGATTAACTGAACGGTAGTTTGAGTTGAAGCCAAACTCCCATTTCAGTGACACTGACCTGTTTCGCCTCTCAAGAGGCTCATTCCTTTCTCTCCTGTTTTGCTCCGTGCCCTTCTTTGGAGCTGGCAGATTACTAATTGTATGAAAGCTCCTGCCTCGAGCCAAATGCTGGTTTCAGCTTCCCCATCTTTCCCGGCCAGTCATTTGGAAGATGTAGAAATGAGTGAATTCCCATTGGAGTGAACTCTTCAGTAATGATTGCATTGCAGTGATGTTGGAATGGTTAGCTGTAACATCTGTTGGGCTGAACAAATGTGTTGGACAGAAAGTTGGCAAATTTGCAAGAACTGAAAGCCATTTCTTCTAAGAGTGGACACAAGGATGAGCTATTCATACAGTAGCTGTCTTGGAAATACTATTTGGAAAGCATTTATTTAACGCAGGTATACTTACATTTTTTTAACTTAAAAAAGGGGGAAAATAAAAACCCAGAACCTGGACTGGAAAGGGAATTTTGAGGTCATCATTTTTCAGGAAAAACAATAGGCCCAGAGAAGTAGCTTACCCAAAGTCATAATTTGGTATTATGAGAAAAAGACTGATCATAGAAAACTTGGGTTCATAGCCTTGCTCTGTTTCTTTTCTTTTCTTTCTTTCTTTCTTTATTTTAAGGCAATTGGGATTAAGTGACTTACCCAGGGTCACACAGTTAGTAAGTGTCTCAGGCTGGATTTGAACTCAGCTCTTCCAGGTGCTCTATCCACTGCACCACCTCGCTGCCACCTAGCTGTGTGCACCTCTTCCCCCTTTTCTTATGATGTATGATATGGCCCTACATAAGTCCCTAAACTTCTGGGCTTCAGTTTCATCATATGTAAAGTGAGGGTAATAATACCCTAACCCAGGACTATTGTGTGTCTCCAGTGAGAGGGTGTATGTAAAGCAGTTTGTAAGCATTAAAGGGCTCCATTAATGTTGTCATTGTTTTCCTCTTCTTTCATGGGGAAGTTGGATTCTATCAGCTCTGAGGTCTTTTCCAACTCTAAAATTCCATGTTGCCTCCTGGCTTTCCAGGATCTCACACTGACACCCTCACCGGATGTCTCCCGATCACAACACTTTTCCCCCATTCCCTTAAAATGGCTTTCTTGTATCTTGTATCATTTCCCTTGGGCCCTATTATTTGCTTTCTAATGTAACAACTGATTATCTGAACAAATGTATGTATTCTACTGATTGATATGAAGTGATGTATATTTCTAGCTTTCAGCAGCATTTGAGTTTAAGGGAAGATATTTAGAGATGCCCTTACTTATAGAAATCCATAACTAATGATGAGCCTGTGAGGAAAGGATTTTTCTTTAACTTTTACCTTTCACACCTGGCTGCCACCTTCCTTTCTTTTTTAAATTAAAAAATTTTTTTTTTGTAATTTATAGAGTAAAACAAGCATTTCCATAATACGGTATAATTAAAAAAAGATGATTGCACATGAAACTGCAAATCTATTATATACAACTTGCTATTCCTTTTAGATATGTAATAAAGTTATCATGTAATTTTTTTTTCTCTTTTTTCTTCCCTCCCCTTCCACCCTGGAGATGGCTACCATTAGACACAAATATGTGTATATACAAAAATCATTCCATACAAACTTCTATTTATCAGTTCTTTCTCTGGATGCAGGTAGTGTCTTCCTTCATATGTCCTTTGTAGATAAAGGTACCTAAAAAACCTCTCTTCTCTGATATGAAGGATCAGCTATAGATGGGGTAAAACTAGCAGACATTTCTTTCTGTAACCCTAGCACTTTACACCCATTTACATGGATAATCGTTTCCCATTTGGCTGTGCTCCTTAGCACTTCCCCATCATGCCCACAAGAACCCCATTTTCCTGCAAGATCACATTTGCCATAGTACTCACCCTCTTTCCCTGTGGGGCCCATCTGATTGCAGAACTCCTCCCCAAAGATCCACTTAAGAAGGATTCCCAGGCCAACATCTCCTCATTTCCTTTGTCCCTTTGGATTTCTCTGTCATTCCTCAGTGTGGAGGTGGGGAGGGACAGGTAGAGGGGTACCTTTTCCCCTCCCCCTTTTCAACTTCCTTTTGAATTAGATTAGATTGTAAGCTCCTTGAGGTCAAGACTTTTCTTTTTCCATATTTGTATCCCCAAAGTTTAGTACAGTGTCTGGCATATAGGAGGTGCTTACTCAGGTTTATTGAGTATCTCATTTGCTCCTCACAACAATCCTGTGAAGGGGATACTGCATAGTAACATCTCCCCATAACAAATGGGGAAACTAAGAATAGAAGATGTTAGATCTACTTGTGGCCATGTAGCTCGTAAGCATTAGAGGTATGATTCAAATTCAGGTTTCTCCTCGCTGTTTCTTGCCCTGCATTTCCCCAGAACAAAGGTCAGGTATGGAAGAGGGGCAGGGAGAACCAGCTGGTCAGTGCTCAGCATTCAGAGCACATTCTCACTGCCCTGTTGCCTGTTGGACTGAGAGGAAAGGCTGATCAACAAGCCTGACATAGAAAGCAGAACCTGCCGAAAAGTTGAGAAATCTGAGCCAATGTGACTGGCATGAATCATGGAGGTGGCAGGATTGTGGGGCTTGCAGGAACACTAGTGATCATGGTCTCCATACTTTTCTTTTTCAGGTGAAGGAACTGAGGTCCAGAAGTGAAGTTATAAGCCTCAAATCATCCAACCAGAAATTGAACACAGGTGTCCTGGCTCCAAATTCCAATTCTATTACTTATTCCTGTTTGACTTTGGGTAAGTCACTTAACTTTTCTGGGCTTCAGCCTGCTTATTTATGTAACTCTCTAATATAAAATTAGTTTCTTTTAATCCTAGGGAGCTATATAATGAATCAACCCCACTGGTTTACCTGTAAAATTAGAGGGTTAGCCTAAGATCCAGATAATATCTAGTTCTAAATCCTATGAGCCTGTGCTCTGAAATTCCATGCTGTAATGATTCTTCATTCCCCCTAATTTTGAGATCAAAAGTCTCCGTTTCTTTCTTGGTTCTTCCTCAAAAAGGCAGTTTCCTCCAATTGAAAAATATGGTCCAATCAAGTCAATAGCACACATTAAGCACCCAGTGTATGCCAGACACTGTGCTAAATGCAAAATAATGTGCTTTGATGACTTTGGGTAGAAGGGAATGCATAAAACTTATTCATGAATGCATGAACAGGAAGGTGTAGCAGAAATAGTTGGGAGTCAGGACCTGGGTTTAATCTCAACTCTGCCACTCACCTCTTCTAGCTGGCTTATTTGTAGTAATCAACAAGCACATATTGACTACCTACTAACTGCAAGATGTCCTGGTAGATGCTGAGTATACAAATAAAAAGAATGAAACAATTTCTCCAGACAAACAGCTCACATTTTAATGGAGAAGACGAGCATATACACACATATACACATATACATATATACACACACATATATAAATGTACTTATATTACATAGAATATATAACATATATATTCTATCATATCATATGACATCATATATGATATATATTATACATTAATATAGTAGTTATATATGATGTTATATAGAATAAAGAAAAAGAATACATGTAGTTGCTGAGCCTTAAAAGGTAGTTAGAGTTCTAAAAGTCAGAGACAAAGGGAGAATGTCATGTATTGGGAACAGCAAATGGCCTTTCTGCCCTGCCCACCAAGGAGGCACAAATTCCTTGAGTGGGGTGACTCATGAGTCACACCCAGTAAATCCTGAAGTCAAGACCAGAGCTCCTTTTCTAGTGGAGAGTTTGAGGATCAGTTAGCTAATAATTTGATCCAGATTTCCCTCTCCCATCCCCAATGCCTGGTTCTGTTTGACCCAGGCAAGAACTCTATGAAACCACCTGGCTGTGGGCACCTTTCTATCTAGGGCCCTGGTGTACCTGACTTGCTTCCGTCTCGTTGACCATCCCTTCTTATTAGGTTTCCCCTCAATAAAGCTGAATTGCTTCACTTTCACTCCATTAACTTCTTCATTTGCTTTTGTCTCTCTTGTGTTGCATCACATCTCAACCACATCAATTTTTGCATTAAAAGCCTAGACCATTAACCAACGCTGGGATTAATGGTCTCCATGGCCATTCCTACACCCGTGCTTCCCCAGCCACAACGTAGGGAATATAGAATATAAGAACTGGACTAGAATTCTACATCCCAACATTAGTACCTCCTCAATTATCCTATATACCAGCCCCAGATATGCTCCCCTTGAAATTTTTCCCCAGGCATCCTAAGTGGCTTATAAGGGAGATTGCCCCCTTTCCTCTCACTATACCATGGAGCCCTGAATCTCACATAAACTAAATTAAGATAGCCAGCTTGGCACATGAGAGGCATGGGAGGGAGTGATGATTAATGAGAATGACAAGAGAGATGGGAATAAGTTAGTAAGTTATCTGAGGATAGATTTGAACTCAGGTCTTCCTGACTCCAGTATCCACTACACCACTTAGATGCCTTAACACATGGTCACACATGTTCTGTAGGACTGTAAATATGGCTGCTGTGTGAAAATTGGAGTGGATAATGGACAGACTGGATTCAGGGAAACCATTTAATAACTACAGCAATAATTTAGTCAAGAAATGTTGAGGATCTGCACTGAGGTGGTGATGGTAAATAAGGGGAGCACATAGTAGGGGTTAATAGAATCAGTATTTTGCACCTGATTAAATATCTGAGTTGGGGAAAAGCAAAGCCAACTTTGAGGTGGTAACTGGAAGGATAGTGGTGCCTTCCTCAGAAACTGGAAAGTTTGGAGAAAGGGGAATTTTGGGCTGGAGGGAAGACAATGAGATATGTCAAGTCTGATAGGCCAGCTTAGATGTGGAAATGCAATCATTTGTATTTGAGGCTGAAAGCATGGTAGCTAGCTGTGAATCCCTGGGAAATCTTGACTAGGGAATGCACCCTTTTTGAGCGATCTAACTTTCACTGTAACTGTCTTGCTCTCTTCCATGCTGGACTTAAATCAACCTTAAAAGATTCAGAGGTATTACGGAAACGTTTAGAAGGAGGAGAATGATATGGCAAGCTGTTTCTTTTTTTCACCCCAACCAAAAGCTGAATGTGAAAGGGACCTAAATAAATAACCACAGGAACTGAAACTCTATTTCAACATCATTACAACTGGAAAGTAAAGATTGTTTGAGTGTTTGAATGCCATGGAGTCCCCTTCCTCTAGTCTAGGGGCTTGCCTTGGAGAAGTGAAGCCCTGAAGCTGAGTTGTCTGTCCAAGGGTGTCTGTTCCGGGTAGACACAATCTACCCCTCCCCAGACCTGCTTTTTGTCATTCCCTTCAATTTGCTGGAATATGACTTTATTCTCTTTCACTCTGTTGAAACTGTTCTCCAGGGTCATTGGTGACTTCCTAATCCTCAAATCCAAAGGTCTTTTTCTCAGTCCCCTTTCTCCTTGATTAGTCTTAGCTTTTGGTGTTTACTAAATTACTGCTATTACTTAATATTCTCCCCTCACTTAGCTTTCTTGACTCTGCTCTCTCTTTGTTCTCCTCCCTTTTCACTGACTGCCCCTCTTCTTCATTACCTCTTATTATGTGCCCCTTTTCTTTCAAACCTAGGTGTTCCCCAGAGCTCTGTCCTTGGCCCTTTTCCCTTTTATCTTTACATTCTGACCTTTGGCAATTCCCAAAGGTCATATCTATGCGATGATTCCCAAACCTTTATCTCCAACCCCAATCTCTTTCCTAAGTTCTGAACCCGCATTTCTGTCAGCCGATCAGATTTCTTCACTTCCTTGTCCGCACCTTAAAGTGAACATATCCAAAGCTGAGTGTGTCAAGGTTCGCTAAAGCCTATTCCTTCTTTGACTTCCACTTTCTATTAATGGTTCCAGAGTTCAGTCAGTTGTTTGTACTTTAGACATCAGAGTCATTTCTAATTCTTTTCTCTTTCTTCTTTCCTTAGGTCTAATTAATAGCCAAATGCTGGTGTTTTTACAACTGTGACATCTCTTAGATCCACTATCTCTGTTACCACTGTAGTCTATACCCTTCTTTCATGCACATACACACAGTTTATCTGTATTTGTTTGTCTGTCTGTCTGTCTCTGTCTCTTTCTCTGTACATACACATGTATGTATGTATGTGTGTATGTATGTTTGTGTGTGTGTATTCCACTACAGGATATTGCAATAGAGGAGATAGATAGTTATGTAGATTGATAGATAGATAACTTCTACTCCAACAACCAGTGGTGGAAAGAGAACTAGATAGATGTGTTGAGACCAGGGTTCAAATCCTGACTCTTAAGTTTACTAATTATGTGACCTTGGTCAAGTCACTTCTCATCTCTAAGCCCAAATTTCCCAGAGAAAATATCATAGTTACATGTGTTTTGTAAACCTTAAAGTGTGATTTAAATGTTATCTATTGTTTAACCTAACCACTCTCCCAGCTTCTAGTCTTCCATTCAGTCGATGAACATATATATTAATCACCTACTGTGTACCAGACACTGTGCTAAGCTGTAGGTATACACAAAGAAGCAAAAGACAGTCCCTGCCCTCCAGGAGCTCACAGTTTAATGGAGGAAACAACATGCAAACAAATATATACAAATAATATATAGGATCAATAGGAAATAATTAACAGAGGGAAGGCACAATAATTAAGAGGGGATGGGGAAAGCTTCCACTAGAAGAAAGAAATTTAGTTTGGACTTAAAGGAAGCCAGGGAAGCTATAGGCATAAGGTAAGGAAGAAGTGCGACATGGTTGGGAATGGCTAATCCAAACTAGCTAAGAAATCACTGGGGCCTGGATGTAGTAGACGCAGCATTCCATCCCCAGCATTCACTCTCCCTCCTCATTTCGCCCACCCCCCCCAATTCTCCAATGGAAAGAAAGAAGTATCTTTCCTTACCTCCTCCTAGTAGCTTTTGAATTATGTAATTTTCAACTTTGTCTTGCCATTATGTTTATGCTTTTCTGAGATTCCACTCAGTTCAGTCCACATCAGTTTATATGAGTCGTCATTCATTATTCTCTTTCTTACAGAGCAATAATAATCTGTTATATTCATCTACAACAATTTGGTTAGCCATTAGTTGAGATAGTGTTACTTCCATTTTGCAGATGAAGAAGCTGAGGCCTCAAGTCATTTATTCAGCTAATGAGTAGCCAAGCTGAGATCTGAACTCAGGTGTTCTGTGCAGAATCCATTTTGAGGGGAATAGTTATACTAGACTAATTTCATTTTCTTTTCCTCAACTTTCATTTCCTTAGCAGATTGCCTGCCCTGTAGTAGGTGCTTAATAAATGTTTGTTGAATCTGAGGTACCACATCACACCTATCAGATTGGCCAACATGACAAAACAGAAAAATGATAAATGTTGGAGAAGATGTGGGAAAATTGGAACACTAATGCATTGTTGGTGGAGTTGTGAAATGATCCAACCATTTTGGAGAGCAATTTGGAACTATGCCCAAAGGGCTATAAAAATGTGCATACCCTTTGACCCAGCAATAGCACTTCTAGGGCTATATCCCAAAGAGATCACACAAGCAGGAAAAGGACCCACATGTACAAAAATATTCATAGCAGGTCTTTTTGTGGTGGCAAAGAATTGGAAATTGAGAGGATGCCCATCAATTGGGGAGTGGCTGAGCAAGTTGTGGTATATGAATGTGATGGAATACTATTGTGCTGTAAGAAATAATGAACAGGCTGACTTTAGAAAAACCTGGAAAGACTTGTGTGGTCTGATGCTGAGTGAAGTGAGCAGAACCAAGATAATGTTGTACAAAATAACAGCCACATTGTGTGATGACTAATATTGATAAACTTAACCCTTCCTGGCAATACAAGGATCTAAGACATCTCCAGAGGCCTTGTGATAGAAAATGGTATCCACATCCAAAGAAAGAACTATGAAAGTTGAATTGCTATTTTTTTCTCTTCGGTTGAGTTTTGTTTCCTCTTTCTGATGGTTCCTCCTATTGGTTTTAATTTTTACTTACAACATCACTAATGTGAATATATGTTTAATATCAATGTAAATGTATAGCCTATATCAGATTGTGTGTCGTCTTGGGGAGGGTGGTGGGGAGGAAGGGGGAGAAAAATTTTAAACTCAAAAGCATGTGGAAGTGATTATTGATAAATCAAAATAAATTAATAAAAAAGTTAAAAAAAATAAATGTTTGTTGGCTTTTTGACTACTAAGCTGATAGGTCACTGGAGTGCTGGAGATCAGAGGTGTCAAACTTAAGGCCCCCAGGACAGCCCAACTAGATTAAAATGTAATTGGGAAGTGTTTAAGAAAATAAGCAAAAATACAATACAGTGGAGATAATGTAGATTTGTGGTTTTCTAAATCCATATGTGGCCAACAGTGATCCCTTTCCATTTGAGTTTGACACCATTGTGGTAGATTGTTCACTTGGATTTTATAAAAGTATCTGATCCAGCAACTCATCCTGTTTTTGTGGACATCATGAAGAGAGGTTGGCTAGATGATGGTACAGCTATTTAGATCTGGATCTATATGAAGTCCAGGATCCCTAAAGTAGTCATTGATGATTCCTTGTCAGTTTGGAAGATGTCCAGTGGAATGTCTCAGGGATCTGTGCTGGACCCTATGCTGTTTTAACATTATTATCAGTGACCTAGATAAGGGCATAGATGTCATGCATCTCAAGTTTACAGATGGTGCCAGGGTGAGAGGCATAGCTGGCACTGGCTGATAGGATTCAAAAGAATCTTGACATATCAGAACATTATAAAGACATGAGCATGAATGCTTCCTCTGACACTTAGCTGTGCGGTCCTGGACAAGTCACAATGCTTTTGCCTCAGTTTCCCCAAGTGTAAAACATGGATAATAATAGTACCTACCTCACAGAGTTATTGGAAGGATCAAATGTGGTGATCTATATAAAGCACATTGCAAACCATAACTCACTATGAGAATTTGAACTATCATTGCTATTATTAATAAGAAGAAATTGAATAAGGATAAATGTAAAGTCATACACCTGGGTTTGTAAAAGTTAGTAAGTGCATATGTACAGGACTGGGAGAAGCATCATAAGATAATAGTTTGTCCAGAAAAACAAACAAAAAAACCCTGTAAATATTGGTGGACTTTAAGCGCAGGGGGTTAGCAGTGAGGTATAGCAGCCCCTAAGCATGGTGCTATGGAAAGAACACTAGGCTGAATGTCAGAAGATGTGGGCTGTGGTTGTGCCAATACTTAGCTCTCCTGTACAACCACTTCGGCTCTAGAACTCCATTTCCTCCTTTATAATGTCATGGGGTAGTATTGGACCGAGTAATTTCTAAGGTACTTTACAGCTCAAAAATCTGTGATTCTGGAATTTTGCTAAAATTTCCCCTGTGGGCCCACTCTTCCAACTTTCATTGCTCTCATAGTTTCAGGTCCCCAGAGGGTGGCTGCTACCATAATTGCTATTAATGGAAACTAAGCAGTTCATGATCTTTAAAAAATTGTAATGTTCCAATTTAAAAAAAAAGTGGGGGTTGAAGAGGAATAATGTCTTCAAACTTTAGACTGGTGGGTTTTGATTGCTGACCAAATTCCAGAACTTATTATTAGAGGGCTGGTTTGTAAGCATTTACAGAGAGAATCAAGCAGTGATTGCGAAAGGCTAACATGGCTTCGTCAAGGGCAAGTTGTCATACCAAGCTAATCCACTTCCTTTCTTTTGACAGGATTGTTGTTAGACTGATAGATCGGAGGAATGGTGTAGGCCTGGTGTGTTTGGATTTCAGAAAAGTGTTTATCAGTTTCTGGTGGACAAGATGGCAAGATGTGGGCCTCCATTATCCTGGTCTATTCCTAAATGCTGTCATTGGCACCCATCATCACTTCCCCCACAAGGCCAATTTAGGATTTGCCCAATCTGTGTCTTTGATCAAGATAGTTTGCCCTTTCTACAAGCTCAGATCTCTTGACTCTCAAACACCCAGGAGGTCCCCTGATTTCATAGAAGGCTTTCTGTTGGTTGTTGGGCCTAGAGTTCTATATTAATCCCTTATCTAACTGATTATCACCTCCTTCATCTGTAAAAAGGAAAGGGTGAAAAAGAGTAACCAATTCCATTAAAGATTTTTCCATTAACCAGAAAGAATAATCTCATCTGAAAGTCTACTTACAAAGATTATAAAGCACCATAGCTTTCCTACATAAACCAAACCCATATAGGACAATTCAGTATTAGGGAAGTCAGATGTAGATAGGGACTGGCCCTGGAAAAACCAGTGGTCATGATTCTATGCTGTGTGGGAAATGTTGAAAGATGACGTGAAGATGAATGTGAAGGAATGAAAAAGTATTAAGCAGCTTCTATGTGCCAAGCACTGTACTAAACACTGGGAATACAAATACACAAAGGAAAGGGTGTCTCTGCCCTCTAGGAGCTTACATTCAAATAGACTCTCTCTCTCTCTCTGTGTATATACATACATATATATATATATATATATATATATATATATATATATACACACATATATATATGTACATAGATCCAGATATAGATATATATACACATACACACACTTACACATACACACAGTTACACACACACACATACAAACACATATATATACACATATATGTATATATTAGAATATTCTTTATATAAAATATTCTAAAAGAGAATAGTCTACATATTACAATATAATATATACTCTGTTATATCTATATTCTCTCCATATATATTTTTATATATAGGGGAGTAGTGTTCTGAGAGGGGCACTTTGATATGGAAAGTTGCCAGGATGGTGAATGGTGTCATTTTTCAAGTAGATTTACACACTTCTAGGAGCAATATTAGAGTCGATTTAATCATGGTACCAGAACTTGTCATGGGGTGGGAATGGTTTGGGTGTCAAGATCATTGGTAAGATGGCTAGAGAGTAAAGAGTAAAGCATGGCTGCGTTTTAGTTGTTCTGGTGAGGTACACATGTGGTTCCATTGTGTTGTGCTGGTGTCCAGCTTGTAGGAAGGGGGGCACCAGGTGATTTCTAAGGTTCCTCTAGCTGTAACGTTCCGTTGAGTACAGTTAAGTTACTGATGGATTTTGCCAGTGTTTTCTTTTTGCTGGTTAAATTGCATCCTCCATACTTGAAATACAGTCCTCTTCATCTTTGCCTCCAAGAATTGCTAGCTTCTTTTAAAGCTTAGCTCAAATGCCACCTCTTGCATGCAGTCTTTCTTTGTTAACACATCCCTCCTTCCCACGGCTGCTGTTTACTTAGGAAATATTAACTTGTATTTACTTTGTGTGTGTTTTATATATATTATATGTATGCATGCTGTTTGTATTGTAAACTCCTTAAGGGCAGAGACTGTTTCACTTTTGGTTTTGTATCGGCAGTGCCTGGCATACAGTAAGTGATTAATACATGTTTATTGATTAATCTATTTTAGTATTTGCTTGTTTCCTCCATAAAGGATAATCACGTGCTTTCTCATGGGGTAGGAGGCTGAACTAGATGACATCCTAAGTTTTTTCCCACTAAGAAATTCGGACTCTTGCAGTCACTCAACAAACATTTATTAAGTGTTTACTGTGTTCCAGGCACTATGCCAAGTACTTGGGCTATAAAGAAATGCAAAAACACAGCACCTGCCCTAAATATACACACGAGATGGACGGCAATGTCATTTTCCAATGCTTGTGACACACAACCATTGGCTCGCCTGAACACCACAACCTTGTGGTTATGTTTGTAAGCCCTTTTTGGTTTCTTGGCAGATTGGCTCTCAGGCCCCCACAGAGCTGCTGGTCAGGATGGATGAAGACCTCCTGCCCAATTCACATGTGCTCATCAGTGGCAGTAAATCAATTCTGAAGTAGGTGTTTCCTTCTTCCACTGGGGGAGGGCAAAGGAATGGGAGGCTCATCCGTTCTCCTTTGCCTAATTGCTTTACTCCATGCATTGGGTGGAGGTGGATTCAAATTTGACGTGCTACTTTGTTTCTTCCATCATTGGCTAATCTTAGGAATTATCTATAAAGTGAGGGAGTGTTAGATAGTAGACTTGGAGGCAAGAAGATCTGGGTTCAGTTTCACCTCTGATGTTTACTAATGCAGTGACCTAGGGCCAGTCACCTAACCTCCTTGATGTTCCGTTTCCTCATCTATAAAACGAGGAAGGGGGTGACCAGAATCCACTGAAGGTCCCTTCTAATCCTGATAGTTTATGATTTTCATAAGCGTAATATTCTCATAAGTATAATGGTTCTCATGAAGTATAATAATACAGACATCATACCAACTCTACCAGTCTTCTCTGGGAAAACCTTTCAAGTGATTGCCTTCAGAGAATTGAGAAATCATGTGATGAATGATTTGCTTCACTTAACCACTCTGGGCCACAGTTTCCTCATCTATAGAATGAAGGTGTTCAACTGGATGACCTCAAAAGTTCCTTCGAGCTATAAATATATGTATATATATATATATATACACATATATATTTTACCCTGTGATCCTCTGGCTTTCTCTGTTCAAAGTCAGATATGGTGGCCAACTGCCCTAATATGTTCTCGGAGGCACCCTGAAGGGGGTGGTGATTGAGGGGACAAGTCTGGGGTTGGGCCTAGGTAAGTAACCTTGAAACAGAAAAGTGAGAAAGATGCTCTCACTGCTTTCAGTGACCTCTTCTCTCCTTACCATTTTACCGTGCCCAACCCTACCATTCCATCCCACCATTCTTAACTCTTTCTTCCTCATAAATATGGTGTATGTACACATGTACATGCCCACAGAGTCCTCTTTCCTGGGAAAAATATAGAAGGTACTAATGTGAGTGGGTAGGCTAGGGAGTGTGTGGATGGGATTTAGGGACTGATGATAGTTGTTTCCAGCTCTAGAGACTGTTTAGAGTAGAAATGCCTTGTGTTTATATAATGTTTAGTACTTTCTCCACATACTTAGATCTATTTTCCCACTTGAACCTATGAAGCAGCAGGGCAAGTGTTGGTAGCCTCATTTGACATATGTCCTCTATGGCACAGACAGTGTTAACTTCTCCAGTGTCACATAGCAGATGATTCATTACCAGTCTTGTGTTTTGACTCCTGCAGATCAGAACTCTTATCTCTGCTCAAAACATACAATTGTTATCATGAAGGAAGAAGCTTCCAGCTGAGACATCGAGAGGTAAGATGTTGTTTTAATATCGAAAAAAGATTTGGGCTAAGTAAGTAAAGTTCCCCTGAGAAAATCCAGACATTCTGACTAAAGCCTTGCTTGGAGTCAGCTCCAAGCTGTGCTGTGGGAGAGAGCCACCATGACTGGAGATCAAGGCCTGTAGTCAGTCACATCGTATCCTCCTTATTTACCCCAGTATCACCACTATCATTTTTTTTTTTAGGTGAAATCTCATGGGCTCGTAGCATAGTAAGGCTGGAATAAATCTTGGAAAATATCTATAACAGTGGTTCTTAAACTGGAGTTTATGACTTGCAAATATACCTATATACTTTATCCACATACACATATACATGTATATGCACACATACATATATATGCACACACATACTTATAGATAACTTTATTTCACTAAAATTGGTTTCCTATGTAATCTTGCATATTTTCTTTTGTGTATTTAAAAATGTGATTCTGAGAAGGGATCCAGAAGCCTCACTAGACTGCTAATGGGGTCCACAAAATAAAACACTTGTTAAGGTCCCTTATCCAGTCTTACCCTCTCACTTTATAGACAAGGAAACTGAGCCATTGGAAGTTCAAAGGATATCCCCAAAAGAATGTGACCAGAGTTACAACAATGGTTTGCAAAGCTTTAAAAACTGTTAAAATTATCTTGGAGAGAACATCCTTGGAGGGGAAGAGATATCCCAAGAAGGAAACCTGCAGCTTGAGGAGGATGTTGGAAAGGAAGGGGTGGGAGGAGCAGAAGCAGTCACAGTGACTCATATCTTTCTCTTAGAACCAGCTGATCTTACCACCTGCTTCTACCCTCCTGACTGCTCTCCTGAGTCATTCCAATAGCCACCCTATTCCAACAATAATTACCATTCCCCACCCTCCTCAAAATGTGGGGTCTGGGGGCAACTGTTGGAATTAAAAAATATTTATTGGGTGCCTACTTTATGCAAAATGTTTTGTTAAATGCTAGACAATATTGTGATTAACAAAACATGGTTGCTGCCTTCAGGAAGCTTTCAATCTAGAATAGGAATTAAGAGATATATGCATAGAAGTGGGGGTAAGAGAATCTTCACCTTTTTATTTCATGAACTTTTTTGGTAGTCTGGTTAAATCTATGGACCCCTTCTCAGATTCATGCTTTGTTAATTACATTTATAATAGGAAGAAATGTTCCGTATCTGTTTGAGATTAGTGAAAATAAAGATGATTTTTTCCCCATCCAAGTTCATGGACATCCTGAAATCTATGCATAGAGTCCTTAAGGATATGTAGATGGCAGGTTAAGAATTCCTCATCTGTACCTGTGATTTCATTGGTATAGGGAACTACCAGATGGGGAAACCCTCTCTACCAATGAAGATCAGCACCTTCTCTGTAATTTATAGTCTTAAGAAATTTACCCAGGTAATGATTAAGTAACTTGCAAAGGTTCACACAGTGAGTTTATGTCAGGGACAAAACTTGAGTATAGATCTTCCCGATTCCAAGACCAAGTTCTCCATTCATTGTACCATATTAGATCTGGTACATATAATAAGAATGTTAATGCTCAAATTATTATTTTATTAATATTAACATATTTATGTAGAGCTTTACAGTTGATAAAGGCCTTTCCTAATAATGTTTCTGGATATCTGTTGGTACAAGTATTATAATTCCCATCTTACAGATGAGATATGTTGAAAGAGTTTAAGTTCCCCAAATCACTCTGGCTAGCTACAGAGCAAGGCCTCAAACCCAGGCTTGACTGTGACTCTGAAGGTCAGTGACTCTTTCAGTACATGATGCTTCTGCCTGTCATTAGCATCTCACTTGTCCCTCGGGGTTTCTGAAATATGAATGCCTCTTTCTAACCCAGCATCCAATTTCTGATCATAATACCCAGGACAGTTTTGGAGAAGTCTCTCTGACAGATCTGATTGTGCAGCCTTTTGTGGGTCTTTTTGCCTCTAGCTGCACACTGTGTCTGATGGCTAACCTGACTTCTTGTATGCTGCAGACTGAGCCTTTCCCTCTTGGTTGCTGAAGAGCTGGTCCCTTCTCTGAATGTGATGATTTTTTTAAAGCAGCAAGGGCACAATGTTCTGGAATAAAGTTCATTTCTAGCCCAGACTTCTGATCAAACCAACAGATGCTTAGTTGGGTATTTATTCACTCATCTCTATCAGTTTACTGTTTACTATTTGTATAATATTGGAGGATACATGGTCTTTATTACAGAAATAAAAACTTAGGTCCAGAGAACTAAATAACCTGCCCAAACACTGTCTTGATCATCTTTGAATCTCTCCATATGTTCCTAGTATAGTACATTGCATACAGTAGGCCCCTGAGCAGTGTCAAATGAACTGTGTGAATGAATGTAGTCCTCAAGAAACTTTCAAAATGTGCAAGTTATAAAGAGACAGATTTAGTTCACTCTAAGGTAGGACCTACTAGGTCCTAATCATTAGACCTCTAAAAAAAATAATAAAATAGGGGGGCAGGTAGGTGATGCAGTGGATAGAGCACCGACCCTGGATTCAGGAGGACCTGAGTTCAATCAAATCTGACCTCAGACACATAACACTTACTAGCTGTGTGACCTTGGGCAAGCCACTTAACCCCATTGCCTAGCCAAAATAATAATAGTAATAATAATAATAAAATAGGCTGTCTCATGAGATAGTGATTTGACCATCGCTGAAGGTATTCAAGCAGCGTCTGGGTGACCACTTTATCAGAATTTTGTAGTCGGACGTATGATCTACAACCCATTCTCTCTTTTTCTTTCTTACTGTTGTCTATCACATACTACAGATCACAAGAATGAAGTTCCCACCCCGACTCTCTTTAGAGTTTTATTTATGAAGGAAAGAAGTCACCTGTGTGACCTTAGGCAAGTTATTCATTTTCTCTAGGCCTCGATTTACTCATCTGTAAAATGAAGGAGTTGTGATCACTTAAGTTTTTTGATCATACATTCTCATCATTAAAAAAAATTCGAGCATGCACTCCTTATATTTGTACATTTATATGTTCACACACACACACACACACACACACACCTTTACCAAGAGATAAGCATGCACAAAATTCAGACATCCAGAAAGGATGAGATAAAGATGAAATAAATATTTTTTAAAATATTTTATTTTATTCATTAATGGTAGAAAACCTTTTATTTTCAATAAAATGTTGTTGTTGTCCAGTTGTTCAGTCGTGTCCAATCCTCTATGAGCCCATGGACTATGGCACACAGACCCTTCTGTCCTCCACTGTCTCTCCAAGTCTATGCAAGTTCATGTTTGTTGCTTCCATGACACTCTCTATCCATCTCATCCTCTGCTGTCCCCTTTTCCTTTTGCCTTCAATCTTTCCCAACATCACGGTCTTTTCCAAAGAGTTCCATCTTCTCATTATGTGGCCAAAGTGTTTAAGCTTCAGTTTCCGTATTTGACCTTCCAATGGATAGCCTGAATTAATTTCTGTAAGTATTGACTGGTCTGACCTTGTTGACCAAGGGACTTTCAGAAGTCTTCTCCAGCACCACGATTCGGAAGGGTCAATTCTGTTGTGCTCAGTTTCTCTGATAGTCCAGCTCTCACAGCCAGCTACACATTACTACTGGAAAAACCAACAGAGTTTTTGTTGTTGTTGTTGTTTGAAAGCAATGTTATTAAGTAGCCATCATTTTCAAAAAATCCCTGGGGATGTCCAGAGTATAGTGCAGACTGGAAAATAATATATTTCTTGTTCTTTAGTTAATTGGATCAAAGCAGCTAGTCAAGTAGGTGAATATCTAAAGACACCTTTAGTGAAAGATACAGCATACTGCGTGGTAATGGACAGCGAGCAGCAGCTTTTCGGCAGAAGTCATATTTCTCTGTGTGTAGATGTTCCCCATATGATGCAAAAAGCAAGCAAAAGTGATTTATCTCTGATTTCAACTCAGGCAAAAGTTTTCATTGTAAAAGCATTCCTTTTTTTTTTAATGTGGTTTTGCTCACTGAATGGACTTGTGCCTGAATTTTCCCTTCATGGTTGAATATTTTAATTGTGGTTTTGTATTAATGTGAAAGACAGCAAGAAGGCTAGCTTGACTAGCATGAAATGAGCAGAAAGGGGACTAATCTGTAATAAGGCTGTAGCGTGTGGTATTATGAAGGGTTATGAAGGCCTTTAAATGTCAAAGAGAGTAGTCAGTCAGTGAATAAACGTTTACTAAGTGCCTAACATGTTCAGGCACTATGCTAAGTGCTGGGGAAGGTGAAGAGTGATGACGTTGAACTAGGGTGGTGACCGAGTGGGCAGAAGGAGAGAAGATGCAAAGGATGTTGCAGAATTGGAAATGACAGGACTTAGCAACTGTTTGAATAATTGGGGTGAGTGAAAGTGAGGAATTAGGGGTAACACTCGACTAATTCAAAGGATGGTGGATAAAGCCCTTGACAGGGAAGAAACAGGGAAGGTCAGAAGAGGCAATGACTGAGGGGTGGGGGAGTAGATACGTCAAAAGGTCTGTGAAGCACATCGCAATTCCATCCCTGCCTGCTCATCCTAGGTGATTCACTCAGTGCTACCCAAAATGAAAGCAGGGAAGGAGGCAAGGCTCTTAGTCATTGGTCACTACCCTTCAACCTACCCAATAAGGAATACCTGCCTAGGTGGCAAGGTGATCTGGGGGAGAGTGAGTATTCTGGGTAAGAGGGGGTGTGGGAGGGATTTGACCTATCAGAATCTGATGGGGAAAGGATGGGAGCTCTCCTGAAAGTAAGCTCCTTGAGGGCACACAGTTTAATTTTTGTCCTTGTATCTACATTACCCAACACATCACATGATCAAAGTTCTAAAGCTGGGAGGGACCCCATAGGCACACTTGATAATTGTTAATTAATTGCTACAATCTAATTAGGACAGCTAAGTGGTGCAACGGATCGAGTGCCAGTCCTGGAGTCAGGAAGGGTTAAGATCTGACCTCAAACACACTTACCAGCTGGGTGACCATA